CCCTGCCCGCTCCATCCCCCCAGGATCATCCCAGAGTGATCCCTGCCCGCTCCATCCCCCCAGGATCATCCCAGAGTGATCCCTGCCCGCTCCATCCCCCCAGGATCATCCCAGAGTGATCCCTGCCCGCTCCATCCCCCCAGGATCACCCAGAGTGATCCCTGCCCACTCCATCCCCCCAGGATCATTCTGGAGTGATCCCTGCCCGCTCCATCCCCCCAGGATCATCCCAGAGGGATCCCTGCCCGCTCCATCCCCCCAGGATCACCCAGAGTGATCCCTGCCCACTCCATCCCCCCAGGATCACCCAGAGTGATCCCTGCCCGCTCCATCCCCCCAGGATCATCCCAGAGGGATCCCTGCCCGCTCCATCGCCTCAGGCTCCGGCTGATCCCGGTTAACCCCGGCGAGGAGGGAAAGTCTTTGGGAAGGATTTGAGGCTCGTTAGGCAGAAGTGGTGACGGTAAAACCGGTCCCAGCAAAGTCTGCCAGCGCCGGGACCTCGGGGCAGGAAAAGCAGGAAAAGCCGGGCCTTGTTAATCCCCCCCCACGTCCTTTCCAGGTCACAGAGCCCGGGGCGGGAGGGAGTGGAGTCGGGAGGGTTTTGTGCCTGACAAAAAGGGGGATACAGGGGCTCATTCCACCCGGGAAGCAGGGACCGAGCACCTGCCCTGCACCAAACTCTTCCAGGGGGTGAGGGATCGTGGAATGGTTTGGGCTGGGAGGGAGTTTAAGGATCATCTCGGACCCTTCCAGGAATGGGGCGTCCCCTGGGAAATCCATTCCAGGGCCTCCCCACCCTCACAGGGAAGGATTTCTTCCCAATACCCCATCTAACCCTGCCCTCTGGCAGTGGGAAGCTACTCCTGAAAGCGGGAGATGCAGGAAAAGAGGGGGAATGTAGGAAAAGAGGTGGGAGAAGTGCCCTCGTGCCTCAGCAAACCGCTCCAACCAGTACGTCCCAGTTCAAAACCAGAAGCCACAGGTGGGGCTGGACTGGAAAACTTCTCCACCTTCCAGTTACCAGTTTCCACGCTCCAAAGGCCGAGCATTCCCTTCCACTCTTGCCCCAATTCCCGTGAATTCCCACTGCCGCTTTTACGTCAAATCCGATAAATTCCCTCCGGCGCCTTCGCACCAATTCCAATAAATCCCCGTCGCCGCTTTTATATCAATTCCTGTAAACCCCCATCACTGGTTTTCCATCAATTCCAATGACTTCCCATCACCTTTTGTGCCTCATTCCCAGCACAGGCTCCCGCGCAGGAGCAAATCCCGGGAAGGTGGGAGGGATAATCCGTGCAGGACTCCCAGGCCAAGACGGGCCACGTCCCTTCCTGCAGGACTAAACCTCCCTGGGATCAGATCCACGGGGACAGGACACTCTGGTCTGGCTGAGGAAAAAGCTGTGGGAACAGCCCTGGGAATTAGGGATGGGACAGACGGTGCCTCGGCCCGTGCCGGAGGTTTTCCAGCCGGATCCGCACTCGTTGGGGTTTATTGTGTGTTAAAGGAACAAAACCCCTTTGATCAGGAGGGAGAGGGAGAGGCAGAGGTGGAAGGAGAGGGAGAAGGAAAGGGAGAGGAGGAAGGAGCTTGGCCGTGCCGGAATAGGAACGGTCGGGACCAGCGGCGGGTTCCAGCCCATCCATCCCCATCCCACAGCTCCGCTTCTCCCCCACGAGCAGGGCTGTGACCCCTGCTCTGCTGGGAGGGGTCCCTGCCCACGGCAAGGAACGGGACCAGAGGGGCTCTGAGGTCCCTTCCAACCCAAACCATCCCACGATTCCACGGCGGTTCCACCGCTGTTGGTGCCGGATGTGCCGGGAGGCTCCTCCTGGGAGCAGGAGACACCCCGGGCTGGGGGTGACAGCTCCCTAAAAGCCTCCTCCTGCCCCAAAAACTCCCCTCCTGCCCCAAAAAC